ACATCAGTTAGTATTTATTTGGAATTAAAAAATTCATAACTCCGCTATGATGCTATCTTTGGTTTTTTTCTCAATCAAATTTAAGTAAATTAAAGCTGAAAGGCTTCTGGATATTTAAAAAAAAAAACATTTTCCAAAGTTTCCTAGATTTCTAGGAAAAAAAAACAAAAATCAGGCCATAATCTGTATCTAAAATCAGGACATAGCCTGTATTGTAAAAATATCACTTATTGTCTCTCTGAGATTAAAAAATCCTGACTTCGCTATCTTTGTTTTTTTTTTCGATCAAATTTTAGTATGTTGAAGTTGAATGGCTTCTGAATATATTTTTTAAAAAATCATTCTCCAAAGTATTCCAGATTCCTGGAAAAAAATCTAAAATCAGGCCATAGTCTGTAATGTAAAAATATCACTTAGTGTCTGTTTGGAATTAAAAAAATTGTAATTCACCTATCTTCGGTTTTTTCTCAATCAAATTTTAGTATGTTGAAGCTGAAAGGCTTCTGGATATTTAAAAAAAAATTCTTAATTTTCCAAAGCTTCCTATATTTCTTCAGAAAAAATCAAAAATCAGGCCATAATCTGTATTGTGAAAATATTAACTGTATCTCTGTTATTAAAAAATCGTAACTCCGCTATCTTTGGTTTTTTTCCTATCAAATTTTAGTATGTTAGAGCTGAAAAGCTTCTGGATATTTTTAAAAAAATTTCATTCTTCCCTCCATTCAATCCCGTACTTCCAGAAAAAAAAAAAAAAATTCAGGCCATAGACTGTAGGCAAAAATATCACTCAGTCTTTCCTTTGGATTGAAAAAATTGTAACTCCACTATCTTTGATTGTTTTCCAATAAAATTTGGGTATTTTTGAACTTAAAGGCGTCTGGATATATGAAAAAAATTATTCATTTTCCAAAGTATCTTAGATTTCCAGGAAAAAAATCTAAAATCAGGTCTGTATTGTAAAAATCCCAGAACTGTCTCTTATGTGGCAAGTTTTGGACGTGGCACCCTGACACCTCAATTTTTTTTTTTAGATTCTCAGTCACAAGCCACAACCTATGTAGGGCCCCCCCCAAACAAATTTTCTGGGTGCGTCACTGCAAGTGGTAGCAGGAGGCAGTTCATGTGTCCCTGAAGCAAAAAATGTAAGTACCTACTTGTCACAAAATTGATATTGCAAACCTGTCAAAATATTCTTTAGATGATATAAAATATCGCGTTCCAGAAAATATGTCTGAAACAGTTCTTAAAAATTTATTATTACTTTTAAATAAATATCGAGATGTTTTTGAGGAAAATATGAATGAGTTAGGTGAAATTAAGTGTGCAGAAATGAAAATTCGTTTAGCGGACGATAAACCGGTAACTTATAGACCTTATAGACTCTCTGTCATCATTTGAAAGGGAAAATGTTCGAAAATTTACGTCAGCTGGTATAGTTCAGGAATCAAATTCACCGTATTCGAGTCCTATTATTCTAGTCGAAAAAAAAAATTGCGAAACTCGAATGTGCGTCGACTATTGCGCCCTGAACTCGAAAACTTTAAAAGATTGCTATCCGCTCCCGCGAGTCGATGATCATTTGGTTTTGAAATGCTGTAATTTCTTTACTACGTTGGATATGGCAAGCGGCTATCACCAGATACCAATGGAAAGGGAATCCAGAGAGAAAACCGCTAAAACGAGTACCTAAGGATGCCATTCGGGTTGGTCAACGCACCTGCTGTTTTCCAAAGAACAATCAACCATGTATTGGGCTTTATGAGGTTCTCTACGGCGTTGGCGTACATGGACGATATTTTGGTGCCTTCTTCTACTGTGGTATCTGGATTAATAGCTCTGGGAGAGGTTTTTCAAACATGCGGGTATTACTTTGCGTTTATCCAAATATAATTTCTTCCAAAACCAAATTGACTACTTAGGAAACGAGATTTATCCTGCTGGGATACGTCCTGCTTCTTCCGAAATTGTTACTGTGGAGAAGTTGCCTCTACCCAAGAACGTTCATCAAGTACGTCAGTTTGTATAGTTATTTTCGGAAATACATACGTCAAAAATTTTGCGCAAATTGCTCTACCTTTGACGTCTCTCACCAAGAAGGATGTAATTTTTAGTTGGGGTGTAGCGGAGGATAGTGCTTTTGAAAAACTTGGAGAAGTTGTGATTAAAAGACCTATACTGACTATCTATGATCCCAAGTTACCAACCGAAGTTCACACGGACGCATTCAAAGTTGGACTAGGTGGAATTCTTTTCCAATGACAAACCGATTCCAATTTAAAGCCAATATTGTATTTTAGCCGTCAGACAACAAAGGAGTGGGGCATATGTCGATACTCTCAGTAAGAATCCTATTGATTAAAATTGGTGTCGCCAAGAAATCCAGGAAGTAGGCATTTTGCAAAATGATATCACCCAGAATGATTGGGTTATGTCGGTGCAAATTGAAGATAATCAATGTAAGAAAATAATGGAAATTCTGTCTGAAACTCCAAAGACCCATGAAGAAAAGCCAAGTCCACAAGGATTATTTGCTGAAGGACAACAAATTATAAAGGCAAGCCCACAATGGTATGTACCAAAAACAGGACGTCGAATGGTTACTATGTAGCATCATGATAATATAGGTCACTTCGCTACTGAAAAAACGCTGCAGAATATCTGTAGTAAATATTGGTTTCTCAGAATGCGGAAATATGTGAGCCGATATATATCTGCTTGTTTTCCATGCGCATACAATAAGGTGCCAGCAGGAAAGCAAAGCCCAGTATCGAAAAAGTGGCAATCCCAATCGACACTCTTCACATTGACCACTTGGGGTCATTTGTTCAGAGCACGAAACGTAACTCTTACCTAATTGTAGCAATAGATGCTTTTACAAAGTTTGTACACGCTAAAGCAGTACCTACCAACCACCGGTGATAACCTTTTTGGAGAGTATATTGTACCTTTTCGGTACTCCAAGACGAATAATCTGTGATAGAGGCTCCTGCTTCACAAGTCAATATTTTGTAAAGGACTTGGGTATTAAACTGGTTTTAAATACCACAGCGACTCCACGAGTTAACGGGCAGGTGGAAAGGTATAATACTTAGAGCAGGTAAAGCGCTGTCCTACGGACATAAGGAGTAGGAACGCGCCATTCTGCTTATGAAACTAAAGTGAAGCCAAGTTTTTGGCAGGTGTTTGGCACCAAAATACAGGTAGAGCATTGAATTGCCATAGCCGCCATTTTTTGTGGGCCAAAATACCTGGAAAAAAACGGCTTCATTTTCCAAATCCAGGTTACTACTCCTTTACCTTTACCTGCTCTAAGGTATAATAGAACTCTATTGAATGTCATCACTACTTCTCACGATGATGAGAGAAAATGGGATGCGTCACTGAGTTCTATTGTGTTTGGAATTAACTATAGGTCCTAAATAGCTCTACTGGGAAGTGGGAAGATTCCCTACGAACTATTGGTTGGGTATAAACCAAGGGCCATGAGTGCTTAATTTTTGAGCATAGCTGTAGTAGATGATGCAGTAGAGATTGACCTCAATACGTCAAGGCAAATTGAGATTGCTCAAAGTAAGCAGAAGGCATACTTTGACGCTAAACGAAAGGAGTATCAAAAAATAGTGTAGGGGACCAAGTTGTTCTTAGGAGAGCAAACGTTTCGAACTATGGCAGGAGTGAGAAGTTACTGTCTAAGTTCAGTGGTTCTTACCAAGTTGCTAAGGTTTTGGATCATGATCGGTATATAGTAGAGGATTTCTCAAGCTCAAAACGTGCACAGAAAATTTATAGAGGGGTTAGCTCAGCTGACCGCATGAAACCGTTTTTAGCTGCCTTTGAAAGTAGTAGTCTAAAAAGATATCAGAAACTGGGTCTACAGCTATCTGAGAAACGTCTCATTTGGGCTGCGTTGTAGTCTATTAAGTTATATTTTACAGTTGATTTAGTTGTATGTGTAAAATTGTTGAGGGCAACGGATATTGTTGAAGACTGGCCATCAGCGACAATATCTAACCCACTCTTTAGTATCTTTTGCATTATATTGAATGTTTTCTTTTTGTATCAATTTCCAGGGCGAGTGAAGATATTTTTTCCGGGACGGCAAATGAAGTAGCATGGCCGACTGTAAAAAAAATCACCTGATTTCTGGTAACAAAGGAAAAGTTACATAAACTAAACGATGATTTACAAAGGATAAACACATCGATATTTTTCTTCTAAATATCAATGACAAAAATTGAAGAGGCTGGAATAGAAAAAATAACCGACTGCTTGTCTAACACTTGATTTGAATAAGTGATTTGTTAAAGCATTAAATACTTCTTGAATCTAATCCAAATAATTTGCTTATTGATGAATCTTCGTGGTAAATTTCATAACACAGCATAGAAAACTTGTTGGATCAGCAAAAAAATCTGAGTTTCGCTTTTTTCATGGATAACATTCCATTTAAACCTGATAAAACCCAATTAGAACTAAAAAAATCCATTGGCTGGTGTTTCAGTGGTCTCATTTGAACTGGTTGGAATATTAGAAACTTATTGCAACATCAGTAACTGGTTGGAACGAAAGAATCACTTAATTTAACTGTTTAGTTTTCTCAGCCAAAGAGTTGGCTTATTTATGACTTTGTTCAATCGTTCAATTTATTATCTATTGAAACTGGTTGGAGTGTAAAAGTTGGTAAGTGATAATGTGATTTTTTCATTTAAGATTGAGCTAGATTTTCCTATTGTTTGGCAGTTAACTGTTATGGAAGTGCTGGAAGTTAGGTAAATTTTCATAACAAATCATTCTTTAAAATCTTAGCCATCATTTGGTACTTACCTCTGATCTTATCTTATTGATGTACTGTCCTCAAGATATGGTTCAGACTATAAATTTATGGAAAGTATCGCTTTACTGTTTCATTCTTCGAGAAAATTTTGCCTGGGTCATGACCTGAGTGAGAATGAGTGAGAACACTTTTGAACAATTCTCAAGCTTTAGAGAATTATTTGTTAAAGAAATATTTTTCTTGTTTCCATAAAACGTATTAAAATAAAACAACAAATAATCAAATTTTATCATAAATAATTTAATATTTGCATACACTAAAAGTACAAAAAGCTATATACACAAAAATATACAAAAAAATAATAATAACAAGACTAGATTCTATTGCTAGCATCTTTACAAGAAATAGAAGTTCTAAAATGTTCGAGAAAGCATTATTTGTTTTTTTTTTCTAAGCATTCTACATAAACTTTGGCTTTGGCCGTATGAAATTATACACAATAATTTAAATACATATATACAGTCTTATATAAATTGAATTGTTTAACAATTTTCCAAATTCGAAGTCGGTTGCTCTGTGGGCGTATTTTTCCCTAAAGAATGCAATGCGGAGTTTTTTCTGGCCTGGTAATAATCTGGAACAAGACAAAACAACATTAAACACAAATTCCAAGAGAGACACATTAAACACGTGCTCAATTACCGAAACGTGATATTTTCAAGAAAAATAAAAAACAAACTGTTCTCTGGAAGCAATTTGGCGGTTTTGAACATGCTTTATCTTCGTTTTGTTTTTAGGGCACGAGCAGTATAGGTACCAGATGGCGAACTAATACTGACAGATTGATGATCCTAAAAATCAGGCCTTGAAAAAGATTGGCACTGGTTTCAGGTTTCTTATTATTATTTTGTATGTGTATGCAATTGCGTTACACATAATAGAAAACACAGGAGATTCTTTTGAAAAAAAAAATTGTAATTAAAAGCATTCTTTTATTACCTGCATATTTCATTTTTGTTCGTGAAGCTGTAAAACGCCATATGGAAAAGCAGATGATGATGATGGGCATAGATTATCGAGGCAGAAAACAGATGTTCTGTTGAAAGAATTTATTTCATTTGTGTGCAATTTAAGTAGACAAAAACCCTCTCATGAGAAACTTATTCAAATTGCACTTTTTATTATGCATTTTCCCTTCAGGTGCGGCTCTCACGGAAATCCTCAGACCATGACTCTGTGATGGTTGTGGTAAAAAAAGTACAGATTTTTATCAAAAGATATATAAATTACTTAGAGCTTGACGTTGACTGCAGCTCTATCACGCTCTGTCGCTTTTAAAAATGCACTACTCTGGGAGAAAAAGATGGAACAAATATTTTTTCTCAAGTGAACGGGCAATTGAAATCTGAAGTGCATGATTTTTGAGAGGAAGTGGTTTGAATTTCAGGGTTAATAAGTGACATTTCTCACGCATTTCTTCTGATTTACGAAAACGTGGGATATCCTGTATAAAGGATTTAGGGGACTATGTGAAGTTGAATTTTGATATTTGATGTTTTCTGGTTTTATTCAAATATTTGCTCAACTTAATTGTTAAGCTAAATCCTTATACTTTTCAAATAATTTGAATTTGGGCTTGAAGGATTTCAACTAAAGGTGATCTTATAGACTGCGAATACCACAGAAATTGTATGAGCTAGGAAAACCAGTTTCCAATTTGTTAAATTTTATAATTAGCGAATTTAATTGGTCAGCAATTTCAATTGGGTAGGTATGACACACTTCAAAATTTTTTGATTTGATTTTTCATGGTTCTAGGATGAAGTCTTAAGTTTTCAGAGTGTCTTGTGATGTTTTCAGTATTGAGTATTACAAATCCGAGATTTTATTTACTTTGGGTGTATTAACTTTGAACCAAGAATTTTGACTCAAAGGTCCTCAGAATTGTGAGTTTTTCATCAAATCTGTGTGTAATTTTTTTTGTTGATGGGTATGCTGAATCGATCCCACTTAACTTTTTTTTTGATAGGTATCCTAATAATAAATTTTTTTCCCATTTGTTGCAAACTTTTTGGCTGTCACTGTATCTTATCATTTTCAAATTTTTAATTTCTGAAAACTTGGACTTGCTCTATTATTATAGAGCCAAAGTGAAGATTACAAAATTGCAGCTTAATGAATAATGTTTGTTTGTTAAGCCCAAGTTCAGGATTGACTCGGTCACAAAGTTAAAAATAAACTTTGCTCACCATTTGCAATCGGTGTTCGAAATCATCATTTTTATTGACAAAACGTTAATGAAAAAGTGCAGACATGGCCGGTGGCATTTCAAATATTTGTCCAAATATACGAGTGTTAATTTTAACCGCACATTTTTGCCTCGCCTCACAAAAATGATTAGTTGCTAACTGAAAAAAAAAAAGTTTATTTGTTGAACGGTGTGCTTGTTTAAAATTGCACAGATTAAAAATTTGCTAACATACACCCCGGGGGAATTCGTAAATAAACAAAATGTAATATCTACGATAAACTTTATCTTATTTATCTTGAAGCATGTTTAGTCTTAGTTTATGATTAAAAAAGCTCGTATTTTGTGTCCAGGATTCGGTTTCAATCACTAATATCAACTTTCAATGTTGGGAATATTGAATCTGTCTGGTTTGCACTTCTTCATCAACTAATCAAATGTATGTAATTTGAACAATACTTTTCTTTCTAATGAGAAAAAAAGGGCTTCGGAATGAAAAACCCCATTCAAATAACTAAATCCAAAAATAAATTCCACCCTGCTTGTCTCGAATGTCTCGATTGAACCAATTTTCTTACAACTTAAAACTCCTTTCATTCTCCGAAACCCTCAGTAAATATTATAACAATGATTCACCTTATGGTACTCTTTGGCTTTCTTTTTACCTGACAGGTTCGGAAAAGAAGGTCTTTTTTTTTCTTCGATTCCCACGCGGTCCTTTTGTATGACTCAAGAAGACGTTGAGGATGTGTTTTGGCGCTAAAAATTTTTGGCGGGAACCGTTTAACTTGGGGTTTTACCTGTTGGAACTTGTAAAATTGAAGAGACAAAGTCGGTACCACACCGACGAGCGGGTTCCTATTTATGAGTCAACCGAAAAGTTGCGTCATAATTATTATGCGGAATAATTATTTACAAAAAGCTCGTTTATTCTTGTTCTTGTAAGAATTGATTGCATTGATTCCTTGTTGGTTCTTGTAAGAATTGGTTGTATTCATTTTTACCTGTTGGAACTTGTGAAATTGAAGACAAAGTACCACCGATGGGTTAAACGATGTAGAACATGTTTTTGTATGCTTTTAGGTCAAAGTAAAATAATTTAACTTGATTTTTGCTTGTTGGAACTTGTGAAATTGGAAACAAAGTAGTACCAGCGGCGAATCGGTTACCGTTTAGAATATGAGTCAGAAGCTGTGTCATATGTTATGTTTTGGCTGGAACCACTTTGACTTTTAATATTATTAGTTGATCAGTGGCGTAGTTATCTACGAAGGGGATTAGAGAAATGTATATCTTATCCCCCTATGGATCTAGGCTTTACCTAAAAATATTCATGATTTTTATTATAAGTAATTGAAAGCAAACAATAGTTGATTTTGCTGAGACAGTTAGAAACACGAAGGAAAAATTTGTGGAAAAACTAGCAGAAAATCTTTTTGTTTTTCTTTGCAAATTCCTAAATTCAATTTTTTTCTTCTTGTCCTGGTTTTTTAATTTTCCTTATGTGGCTGCCTCCTGAATTTTCCCTATTTTTTTTTGATGCCAGGCCCTTGAATTTTTTTTATTTTGTTATTTTCAAGTCAAAAGATTTTGGAGTGTCTCATAACTGAAATTGCTGAAAAATTCACAATTCTGGGGACCTTTAAGTGAAAATTCTTGGTTCAAAGATAATACTACTAACACCCGAAATAAATAAAATCTACGATCATTGCAATTCAGGAATCTTTGTCTTATTAATATCAAGTCAGAAGATTTTGAAGTGTCTCGTAACTGAAGTTGCTGAAAAATTCACAATTCTAAAGACTTTTGAGTCCAAATTCTTGGTTTATAGTTAATACTGACACCCGAAGTAGGTAAATAAAATCTTGGATCCAGGAATCTTTGAATTATTACTCAATACTGAAAACACTGACTACAAGACACTCTGAAGACTCAATAAGACTTCATTCGAACCATGAAAAACCAAGTCAAAAGATTTTGAAGTATCTCATAACTGAAATTGCTGAAAAACTTACGATTCTGAGGATCTTTGATTAAAAATTCTTAGATCAAAGTTAATACTTACACCCTAAGTGAATAAAATTTAGGATCTTGAGATCTTAGATCCAGGAATCTTTGAATTATCACGCAATACTGAAAACGCTGGCTACAAGACACACTGAAGAGTCAAGACTTTATCCGAACCATGAAAAATCAAGTCAAAAGATTTTGAAGTGTCTTGTAACTGAAATTGCTGAAAAACTTACGATTCTGAGGACCTTTGAGTGAAAATTCTTGGTTCAAACTTAATACTAACACCCGAAGTAGATAAAATATAGGATTTTAATATCTTTAGATCCAGGTAATTTTGAATTATTACTCAATACTGAAAACACTTACTACAAAGACCAAAGACACTTTGAAGACTAAAAGACTTCATCCGAGAGATGAAAAATTGAGTCAAAAGATTTTGAAGTATGTCATAACTGAAATTGCTGAAAAACTTACGATTCTTAGGACCTTTGAGTGAAAGTTCTTGGTTCAAACTTAATACTAACACCAGAAGTAGATAATATCTGGGATTTTAAAATCTTAGATCCAGGTTTTTTTTTGAATTATTACTCAATACTGAAAACACTGACTACAAGACACTTTGAAGACTCAAAGACTCCATCCGAGCCATCAAAAATCAAGTCAAAAGATTTTGAGGTATGTCATAACTGAAATTGCTGAAAAACTTACGATTCTGAGGATATAATTGCTGAAAAACTTACGATTCTGAGGATTTTTGAGTAAAGATTCTTGGATAAAAGTTGACTGACACCCTAAGTAAATAAAATCTAAGATTTTAAAATCTTGGATCCAGGAATCTTTGAATCATCACTCGGTACTGAAAACACTGACTACAAGACACTCTGAAGACTTAAGATTTCATTTGAGAACCCATGAAAAATCAAGTCAAAAGATTTTGAAGTATCTCATAACTGGAATTACTGAAAAACTTACAATTCTGATTTCTGAGGATTTTTGAGCAAAAATTCTTGGATCAAAGTTTTAATACTGACACCCGGAGTAAATAAAATCTAGGATTTTGAAATCTCTGATACAGGAATCTTTGAATTATCACTCAATACTGAAAACACTGACTACAAGTCACTCTAAAGACTCAAGACTTCATCTGAGAACCATGAAAAATCAAGTCAAAAGATTTTGAAGTGTCTCATAACTGAAATTGCTGAAAAACTCACAATTCTGTGGATCTTTGAGTCGAAATTCTTGGTTCAAAGTTAATACTGACGTCTGACAGTCTGACACCTGAAGTAAATATAATCTACGATTTTGAAATCTCGAATTCAGGAATCTTCGGAATAATACTCAATACTGAAAACACTGACTACAAGATACTCTGAAGACTCAAGACTTCATTTGAGAACCATGAAAAATCAAGTCAGAAGATTTTGAAGTATCTCGTAACTGAAGTTGCTGAGAAACTTACGATTTTGAGGATCCTCGAGTAAGAATTCCTGGATCAAAGTTGATACTGACACCCGGAGTAAATAAAATCTAGGATTTTGAAATCTTGGATCCAGGAATCCTTGAATTATCACTGAATACTAAAAACACTGACTACAAGTCACTCTGAGACTCAAGACTTCATCTAGGAACCATGAAAAATGACGTCAAAAGATTTTGAAGTGTTTCATCAATCATAACTGAAATTGCTGAAAAACTTTCTGAGAATCTTTGAGCAAAAATTCTTGGATCAAAGTTAATACTGACGCCCTAAGTAAATAAAATCTAGGACTTTGAAATCTTGGATCCAGGAATCTTTGAATTATCACTCAATACTGAAAACACTGACTACAAGTCACTCTGAAGACTCAAGACTTCATCTGAGTACCATGAAAAATCAAGTTAAAAGATTTTGAAATGTCTCATAACTGAGATCGCTGAAAAACTCACAATTCTGAGGAACTTTGAGTCGAAATTTCTGGTTCAGAGTTTAATGGACACATTTTCCATAATTGAGAAAATGTGGAAAATCCAAAACACAAACACTGAATTGATTTGGCAACATCCCAAAATACAGAAAATACTACTTGTATTCTAAGGAAAAACTGAAAAACGTGATGTATTATTGAAAAATACCGCTAATATTTTTGGAAAAAACAGTATGAATATTAAGAGTATTTTCGATAATACACAAATAGTGTTACCTTATACTTATTAACACATTCATTTTTGCCCTGAAGATGAATCGAATCCGAAATGTTGATTGAATTTTGAATCAAATTTCATCCAAATTCAATTTGGAATAAAAAGGATGTTTTTGCAGATATTTTCAAGCTCCCAAAATGAGATAATAATGATTAATTACCTACAAATCTCGATACCTAGGTACCCATTATATAAGTGGGTGCCTACTTAAAATCGAATCAAGCCCGAAAATGCTAATTAAAGATGGGTTCCTGCGGCTACTTCCGATTCGGCGATTCGCAACCGAAGATAATGCCTCACGTTTTGACAATTTAATAACTTAAAATTTGAGATTTACCGAGGTCGTTACCTCATTTGACTGATGATGTCTATTAGTTCAATGACTTTTCAGTAGTTGTTTTAGAAAGTTTCGCATTCGTCGACAATAAAAATAGGTTTTAATTGCACTGAATTGGTATAAATTAGAAATGGTGCATTGAATTACAATTCGAATATAGGAACTTTTGCTATAGGCTGAAAAGCAAAAATTGTATTTATTACAGGAAACATTTATCAAAGTTGTTTATTGTTCTTTTATCTGTAATGGAACAAATAACTCATCAAAACATCATTGTTGTTCCTCATATTTCACCGTATCTGTTTTCAATGATAAGACTGTTTTTATACCAAATTGCCTTTGTCATTTATTAAAGCCTTGAATTTTACAAAATTGCTCCAAAGTACCCCATTAGGGGAATATGGGGCAAAAAAGAAAAAGTTACTCACCAGTAATAAATTGTTGGCTCTGATTGGTCTGCGGCTTATTGAAACTAACTTTTCTCCTCGCCTTCAAAATTTTCTTTCCCAAATTCTTAATACCGGCACTACAGCTTTTCCTATTTTGTTCATTCCTATCATTTTCAATATTCTCCTTAACGTCATCTTTGGTCCGTTCCAGCTGCTCAATGGTTTCAATATCGAAACCGAATCTGGAAAAGAACCGTTGCTGGTCGAGGCCGTATTGCTCTTCCAGCATCCGTTTCGTGTCGTCTGGATCGGACTTTCCGAAAAGGCACTTTTTGAAAACCGACGGACGTTTGCGGCGCACCAAATTTTCTTGTTGCAAGAAATTTTCCTGGAGTTTCGGATGGAAAAGCCTCTGCTGACTGGATTCCAAAATGATTATTTTGCAAATATTTTCAGAAGTAATTTTTTCCATAGTTTAATATTACGCGCGCACTTGATGCTAATGGTACTACTACTATACTGAACGTTGCGCACTCGACCAACGTTGGGCGAATAATGACGTAAAGATTGCCCCTAGGTCGTACAGGTAGCCCCATGACGCCCCACTACTCTCAATAAATTTGGTTGCACACATACAAAGTACACATACAAGAGCTTGGGAATTGTAACGCTTTAGTATTGGGACACGGCTATGGAAATGGTTATTTTTATTCGGGACGGCTTATATTGGTGCAAGATTTTGTAATAGTTGTCTTTTTAGGGTGGTTTGTTGGGTACATATAACATAAATAAATAATCGGTTTTATTGTGAGTTTTGAAACGCAGTTTTGGGTCAAAAGTGACCAGTCGCAAATTATATTGTTGTTTCGGAAATTGGATAAAATGTTCAATTTATTAGTACTACCTACGATGCGAATTTTGTGACGTGGGTGAATTATACGAGTGGTACTATAAGAAACAGTTTGGCTTTCCTTTTATTTTTAATCCTTTTTTAGGATTTTAGGCTAGTAGGTTTGAAGTAGTCTCTTATTATTAGTGTAGATTTCCTGTTAACTACCGTATTAAACTATAATATATTATAGGATTTAATAGAGTATTTTATTCTTTATTAATAATTTATATGTATTTAAATTTTTTCTATATAATCTCGATCTTATCAATTGGGAAGTTTTTCAATAATGATTCATTCTGGAGAGCTTATACATTTATACATACATGATTTACAATGGAATATTTTCAGAGATTCTCCAATTTTAAAATCCTAGCATATACTTAGTCTTTACTTCCTAGAAAGTCTATCAATTGCACTTGATTACTCATTGGAATTTCTTGATGATTACTGAAGAGCTTATACATATACCAGATCTGCGATGAAGAATATCTTTATATTTAAATTCGATTCTGGTTCGAATTTCTTGATTCATCCTGGAGAACTTACAGACAATGCAATGGAATATTTTCAGAGACTCTACAATTTCAAAATCCTTAATTGGTACCTATTTAGTCTTTCTTTATCGAGTAGAAAGTCCATCAATTGATTTGGATAACTTATTGGAATTCCTTGATTATTAATGAAGAGCTTATAGTATATACCAGATTCGCGATAAGAGATTCCAAGTTTTCAAAATAGTCTTGAACTTCTAGAACTTGCAAAGAAATGGAATTCTTCAACTTCAAAATCCTAGAAGGTACCAACTTGATCAAATTTTTTTTTATATATCTACATATTTAAATTTGATTCTGGTTCGAATTTCTTGATTCATCATGGAGAACTTACAGACATGCAATAGAATATTTTCAGAAACTCTTCAGTTTCAAAATCCTAGCATATAAGTTAGTCTTTACCGACTAGAAAATCTATCAATTGATCTCGATTACTCATTGGAATTTCTTGATTATCACTGAAGAGCTTATATACACCAGATCCGCGCGATAACAGATTCCAAGTTTTCAAAATATTCTTGAACTATCAAAAAAATGGAATTGTTCAACTTCAAAATCTTATGACCATTATACATCTGTGTATTTTTCCGTGTATTTATTCATGTCAAAAAAAGTTTGGCAACATGGCCTTGATGAGAATGCCTCTGAAACCGACAGTAATAAAAACTGCAAATATTGTAGGAAAAGTGTTGTTACTACAGTAATAAAGTGTTCATTGTGTGAATCAATATTTCATCCCTCCTGTGCGTTAAGGGTGGCAGGTTTAGTCGTGATAGGCTGTAATAATTTAGTAAAATGTTGTGCGCAACAAAGAGAGGTTATGTCAGCAGCAGCACAATCGAATTCCACCGTTAACGACTTGCTGTCTACAAAGATTCAGCTCATTAATAGCAAAGATTTTATCATAGCCGAGTTAAAACACAAGGAAGCTATTTTAGTGGAAAACATAAACCTTTTGAAAGAAAAAATATCAAGTAAACAAAAACCACCTGAATCTGCGAACGCCGGCAACATGGCCACGACGACGTCAAAAGCGTTTGCGACAAACAGTAAGTCATATGCGTTAGGAGATCTCTCTTTTATGTTGTATGTGTGTATATGCCCCCATCTATTAATTTAAGTGTGTATGAGCAGTTTTTAGATAGTATTGACCATATTTTAGCTGATGGTATGGACATTCTGATGTTGGGTGATTTTAATTGTCCTTATTTTTGCTCCAAAGGCTGTGATAAAAGTAATATATTAAACCAATTCTCAAATAAGAACTTTCTTACTCAATGTAATACAATCCTAAATCATAAGCAAAAAATGCTTGATCTTATATTTACAAACATGAATGTTGAAGATGTGTCTGAATGTGAGTATGCCCTTGTGCCCAAAAATCTCTATCATCCGGCATTGTGCATGTCATTGAACCTAGGCAATCAAAAATATAATCATACTGGTAATATACAAAACAGCCATACCTATGATGACTATGCAAATGGCGACTATATTTTACTTTATTATTTCCTTAATTCAGCAAATTGGTCGGATTATTATATTAGTGGGAATGTGGATGACTGTTTAGTCCGGTTCTACGATACTCTTTGGCAATGCATTGACCGGGTTGTACCACGAAGACAGACTAGTATTGGTAAGAGACGTCAGTTTCCCGATTACTTCTCGGTTGATCTTGTGAGAAAAATAAGGAAGAAAAATAGACTGCTTGGGTTGATGCGAACTGGAAAGGCGTGCACTAGTGTCAATGAGGAATATATAAGTCTAAGAAAAAACATTAGAAGGCAGACTAGGCATGAGTATGCACTGTATCAGCGCAACTTGGAATCAAATATGCATAGTGACCCAAAGAGTTGTTGGTCCTTTTTAAGAGCTAAAAGCAGGAATAATGGTACACCAACGGAAGTGTCTTAAAATATTAAATCCTTCAGTGGCACACAAGAGATTGCAGACGCCTTTGCTCAATTCTTCTCCTCTGTGTATGAGAAACCATCTGCAGCTGATAAAAATAAAAATATTAATTTCGGTAATTTTCACTTCTCCAAAATAACTGAGGAGGACGTTAAGCTAAGCATAAAAAAGCTTAAGGCAAAAAAGTCGGTTGGAACACACAATGTCCCTTCTTCCATTTTTAAGGGCTATGCTGACGCACTCCTGAAGCCTCTTAGTCATTTATTTAACCTCTCTATACAGACAAGTACTTTTCCGACAATACTAAAGGAATCTTTAATTACCCCAATACATAAATCTGGTTCCCACAGAAAAGTCGGGAACTACAGGCCTATCAGTATACAGGGTGTCCCAGCCGAAAGTGAACCATTTTAAATGGTTATAAGTTTTAAACCAGGTGTGCTAGCTACCTGCGGTTTGCGCCATTCGATTTCTCTTGGTTCAAAGTTTTTTCTAGTTAATTGCAAATTTTTTTTGAAATTTATACAGGGCAAGTGAGAAAAAATCAGTTTTTCTACATCAAAATTCTCCACTATTTTCAATGGAACACCCTGTACATATATCACAACTTCAAAAAAAAAGATTAATATTCAAGGCATCTATGTACCAATAGATATCGTCCCTTAAACTTGAAGTTTTAGGAGGTAAAAAATCAAAATCTTGGTATTTTTGCAAACGCATGGAACTTTATGTTGTAGGTACTTGATATCACTATGACAAAGAATTTTGAAACTGTCTAGTTTTTCCAAGAAAATTTTACGAGTTCCAGAGCATTTTCTCTGGAAGTCGTCAAATAGAGATACCCCAAAAGTAACAGTTTGTTGTGCAATCTCTATTGAGGAAAAATACAGACCATTTCCATTAATGAACCAACGATAACAGAAATTGTATACACTGATAATATGTTCTTTTTTCCACATTTAAGACAGGAGGGTATCTTGAATGATATCTATTTCCAGCAGGATGGTGACCCCACCTCATTATTCTTTAATAGCAAGGGAATCACTAGATATTACATTTCGGGAAAGACGGATATGGTGGTCTTATAGAATGGACACCTTACTCTCCTGACTTGAGAGTTTTAGACTTTTTTCCCTGGAATTATGTCAAGGAAAGATGCTGTAATCCTTTGCTCAAATAGCTCAAATAGCAAGTTTTTAAGCGGAACATTTGTATTGTCATTGAAGCGATTCCTCAGGAAATGTTACACAAGTCATTCACGCATTTACTGATCCATCAATCCGTGGAACAGAATGGTTAACATATACCTACATATACAGCATTTTGTATAGTTTTATGCAGCTTGTATTAACTTTTTATTGGGCAAACATAAGTTCTAAGCTTTGTAAATATGCGTTTGCAAAAATATCAAGATTTTGATTTTAATTTTTCACGGCTAAAACTTCAAGTTTTAGGGACTATGTGTATTCGTACATGGATACCTTGAACATTATTCTTTTTTTTGACGTTGTGATATACAGGGTGTTCCATTGAAAATAGTGAAGAATTTCAATGTTGAAAAACGGATTTTTTTTTACTTGCCCTGTTTAAGTTTCAAAAAAATTTGCAAACCACTAGAAAAAACTTTAGACCAAGAGAAATCGAATCGCGCAAACCGCATGTAGCTAGCACACCTGGTTTAAAAGTTATAACCATTCAAAATGGTTCACTTTCGGCTGGGACACCCTGTATTGAACACTGTAGCGAAAATCTTTGAAACAATCCTCTGTAATGATATAATGTCAAATTTCAGCAAATGCTTTTCTAATTGTCAACATGGCTTTCTACCGGATAGGTCCACAGTATCAAATCTGTGTACCCTCACTACACGGGCAATGGAAGCAATAAACAAAAAAAATCAATTGGACGTAATAATGACAGACTGTGCTAAGGCATTTGATAAGCTCGACCACAATGCAATGCTGTCTCAGCTGGGTGACTTTGGGTTCTCGGTTGCTGCTTGTCTTTTAATGCAGTCTTATCTGAAAGCTTGGAAACAATGTGTTAAGATGGGTGACTGCTGTTCAGAGCCTTACTCAGTGACATCAGGGGTGCCACAGGGAAGCAATCTGGGTCCCTCGCTCGTTGTCATATTTATTAATGACTTGCTCAACTGCATAAAGCTTGGTATATGCTGATGATTTTAAGGTTTTCAAACTAATTAC